AGTGGTTCAAAGATAAAAAATATGCAAAATATAAAGTACAGGAAGCGAGTCAAAAACACTTTTAAATGACAGTATATTTGTTTCTGAAATAAATCATCAAGTGTAAAAATGAGTTACGTTTATCTTATGATGAGATATTATAAATACTTTATAACAAAATTGCTCATAATTTGGTCATGATGATGGAAAATGTTATAGAAATTGAGCCAATATATAATAAATTAGTTGAATTTGACGATAAAACTTTGTAAAATAAATATTTACATAATTAAACTGGAAAATATCAGTAGAGTTTTTGCATTATAACACTACTTTTGTATTACAACTATGTGATTCTGGTATAATAGAATAATAATATAATTATATAGAAAAGTACTGCTGACAAAAGTTTATGACAATTTGAATACTCAAAATTGTTAAAAATCAATTTTGTATTTCCAAAAATTAAAATTGGTGAAGCCATTGAAATTGGCTCAACAAAATAGACACAAAAAGCAATTAATGTTAGTATTTAAATTATTGTAAATGGGCATCTTTTATAAATTATAATTCCAATTATTATAATTGTAAAAAAATGAAATTACAAAATTTATAAAACGAATTATTAAACTATATGTTATAAATTATTTTAATATATTTTTGTTAATATATTTTAAAACAAAAATAATAATAAAAACTCAATATAAGTCATAATGTCTTGAGTTTTGTCGCAAGAACGATATTAACTTTATGCATTTTGCGATATATGAAGTTGTTGCATCAATAAAGTTGTTAAAATTTTAAAAATTAGATATATAAATATTCAATTTTTCAGGGTTATGATAATTAAATACAAAAAACTATATTTTATAATACTTTACTTATAAAGTATTATTTTAATTATTATTATAGTTAGTAGTTAGCCTGGTTTGATGATGTATCTGTTATTGTCCAATTGTGTTCTTCAAATTCTGCAGCAATAAAGTTAGACTTGTTTAAAGTTGTGATGTGTATATTAAACATTGAAGTATAGTCATATTCATCAATTGTACCGATCCGTAATTTACTAGTATCCTTAATAAGTTTGCTTTTTCGTTATTTTTTAAAAACATTCTCGATTTATTTTTTGAGTATATATTCTGAACATTGTTGAATCGATTTTAATTTCAATATTTTCGAAACTCGATCCAAAAAATTAACGACTGAAAGTTTATTTTTTAAAAATAAAATTGTTTTTATTTTGAGTATATGATTAACAATAGGAGATGTTCATTTTTCAGCATGTACTTTGAGTTCATTTTTTTACGATCACTTTCAAGTACGAACGTTATCAAGTCAACCAAAACTACGAAGTCGACCTTCTTCTTGTGTATTTTGAAATCCAAAAATTGGATATGAACTTTCAAAAATATTGTCGGTTCACGTAGATTTCCCAAAACAACATTATTTTTATTTTTCAAATTTTGGAGGTTGTATTTCGTTTCAAAAATATGTGTTTGTCAAGTAAGTTTTAAACAACTTGAGGTAATGAGTGGGGACTCTGGTGTTATAAATTCAATTTTTTCGAATAAATAGTTGAAAGGATTAAGGTTGAGAAACGGTACAGGAAAAAGTGCACTACAAATTATCCGCATAATAAATATTTTAAATCAATGTTATTATTATAGTAACGACTACACTCAATCGCACTTCCTCTGATTTTTCTCAAAAAAATTAAGAAAAATAAAAAACAATCATTAAATTCAACAATAGAAAAAAAGATGTCCAGACATTTTATTGTAGCCATTTCAGAGTCGCTAATAAAGATTTTGTATTTATTAAAAATCACAAGCCCACGTTGTTTGGCCAAATTTTAAACCATAGTAATGCTTCTGCAAAATTTGCTTTCGTCTTTCTGGGCATTTTTATAAAAATGCAAGAGGACGCGAAGTTGTTGATGAATGAGATATGTATAATTGACCATATGAGTTTACAATTTTAAACGTTATAACACCAAAACCAAGTCAGATTCACTCAACAGGAACAATCTGGATACCAATCCAAAAATGTGGCTTCACCAACTTCAAATGCCGTTATAAGTAAACAGTTTAAGCCATACAATTGATCTATTGATTGAGGAATCATTAATCTCTCTTTGTAGTTGAACTTCAATTTGGTGATTTGTTGACTTGTTTTCTTCGTAACATCCGGATGATTCCTTACTACTACTGATGTCCGCTTCAGTAGATTAGCGACCAAGTCGTGGCACATTTGGTCAATAGCTATCTTTTCAGTTATTTTTGTTGTCGAATACTCTCTTGAATTTTCCAGTGTGATATTTTTAATGTAATGTGTAGTTACGTGGTTTTGTTTCTTTGGCCACCCCAACATTTTTCCTACACGTGCATCCATGACAATACTTGCCGGGTATTTGGTGCATTTGTAATATTTCTCGTTGTTTTTTCCAAAAACAAATCCTTTGTATATGACAGGTTCTCCAAGTAAATCACGTTCTTCAAAGAAATGTAAATCAGTCTTTATTTGATTATAAAAGATGTCGTTTTTGAGTTGATTAGGTTTAATAATTAATAACACACCAATGATTATAATATATTTATTATTAAATATTAAATTATAGAAGTGTGACAGTAAAAAAATTGGTATTTATGTACAAATAATGTATATATTGTCATCCGACTCAATATATTTTTGTTGAGTATATCAATTGTTGCTTCAATTGCCGCCTTGTCATATGGTGAGAGCTTTGCTGCAATTTGCTCGTTGAGTGTGTTTTTCATTAAGTAGCAGAAGTTCTCAAAATAATAGTATATAAATCGTGCGATTTCGGACACCCTTCGGGAATCCTCAATCTTCACGATTTCGTCGCTTCGCTCCGTTATTTAGATTTAAATATTTTATGGTTATTATTTTAAAGTGATAATTTAATTTTTTGTAAGTCTAAAATGACAACTACCATGGAACGTATTATTAAAGCTATTAAAAAGAAATGTGTTCATATTACAGAGATAATCAATCACGAAGTTGATTTATACTATAGAGTTGAATATAAGGAATTATTTCAAATTAAGGACGACACTGTCAAATTAATCAAACCTAGAGTTAGTAAATATGGTGACGATTGGGTTAGATATAGTATCAAAGATAATAATCATAAAGGAATGACATTTAGTAATAAACCACTAAAAAAATATCATGAAAATAATAATTGTATAAAACATGTAAACAAAAAAAACGCGTGCTGAAGGATGAGGAATTTAAATCAGAATCTGAATGTAAAGATTTTGATGAATTTATATCTCAATTTGTATAATCTCTCATATTATATTATATTTTTTTAGTATTTCTTAGATCTTCTAATATTATTAGATGTTGTCACACTTTCTAAGATTATTTCAAATTAATTATTTTAAATTTTTATTTTTATAAAATAATCTCAAATAATTTTAAATGATTTTAAACCAAAAATAGACTAATATATGCTGGGAACATATAAAAGTCTATAAAATAATTGGTTACGAATAAGTTGTCTTCATTTAGAATTGGATTTTTTTAGTAAAGTTCTCTCTTGTTTTAATATCAAATGTCTTACTAAATTCGAAACTAGGTTTTAATTCGAGTAAGTTAAATGTATAAGATTCTCCCGCGTAAAGTTTCATATATAATTCAATTGAATTTTCGTTATTCCAAACAATTTTCCAATAAATTGTTTGGAATTCCTTTCATTTTCATATGTAAAGCATGTTTTTGTTTTTCATTCGTTAATACATCTATATAAGCTTTCTTACCTAAGAAGTAAGATTCTTTTGAATATACATATCCAGATAATTCATCAAAATTTGGATGGAATTGTTCTAATTTACTTCCTCTTAATGTTTTTCCATATATTTCTTTATATTTTTGTTCTAATAGTTCTATCTTATTTTTGTCTATATGCATTGAATCAGTATCTTGATAATATATATCTATATTTAAATCTTCTGCTAAACACATTACTTCATTCATTATTCTCTTACTCATACTTAATATATGTACACCAATAAGATTTGGAACATAGAAGTCATCAAATGGTTTATTTGTTTCGGAACATCTATTATTATCTGATATGTCATACATAGATTTAACTAATGTAAAGTTCTTTTTAAGATATCTATCTTAATCAAATTTTCCTTTATTATTGATATATTTGTAAATCAATTCAATTTTAATTGGTTTTTGATTCGTTTTACCATATGATGAATTCATCAATAATTTATAATTGTTTTGTAATGGATTACCTTCTTTTTAAGTTGATATCTTAAATTGTATATCTTTTCAATCTCGTTACTAAACATATTAGATTTACATCCAGTCCAATAATATCCTCTAATAATATTAAACTCTATTTGTTGAAATTTAATCATGTTTTCAAGCATAACATTATCTACTCTCATTGTACAAAATTCATTAACATTATGATTACCTTTATTATCTTTCTTAGTTATATTTGGGAAGTGTAAATGTTTGTTAACCTTGCTTATTTCTATATCTACAATAAATGCTGATATATAACGTTCATTTGTTGGTTCTAATTGTTGTTCTAACATTAAGTGGTTTAATATAGTTTTATTACAGGTTTCTTGTGGTATTACTATGGGTTTTCCAGTTGCTAGTTTAACCTATGTATAGCGCTAGGATATAACGAGCATGCGTCATAATCATATAAATCTTTAGTAACATGATGTTTTGTATTATCTCTACACATATTTCTACCTCCATATACTGCACCATGTATAAATTCTCTAACTCTCCCAGAATATTGCATTAAGTTTGGAATTTATGTGTAAACATTTAATTTAAAATAGTGATTAGCTAAAGCAGATATAATAATAAAGTTGTCAACATCTATATTTAAACTTTTCAAATTATTATTTCTGAATTTGGTATGACCTTCTTTCAATATTCTAACGTCTTGACAACAATAGAATTTACAATATAATCTCATGTCGAACTTGTTGTTATCCACTAAACAATTATTGATTTTAGATATATTCTCTTTAAATAATTCATATTGTTTTTATTCCATTTTTGATATTCATATTCACCAGCTTCTGAAATTATTCCAACATTATTTTGAATTCTATCTGCGTTGTAGTAATTATAAATATATAACTCTTTTTGAATATTAGATAAATCAAATATTTTAGGAAAATCTGATAACTTATTTGAAATCATTGAATAACTATCTTTCAAAACAATTTTTTTTCGTGATAATTTAGTTTCATTTTCATAGTTTTTCATCTTTCTTAATACATGTCTCAATTCCTTATTTTGCTAAAAACACGAATAATATTTCAAATTATGAAAGAAAACAACAGAATTATTATCTAAATCAGATAAGAAGTCTTCTACACATTCATTTCCGTATTTACATAAAATTTGAGATGAATTTCGTTTAGAATAAGCAACACAATATGCTTTATGAATTTTTTGTGTGCTAGCTTCGAAATCTGCATAATAGTAAATATAGTTTTTGGACTTAGATTTTTTATTAGTTTTTTCCATTGTTATTGATTTAACTTCGAAATCTAGATAATCCAATGATTCGATTGATTGTTTGACATAATCAGATAAATCTGATGGTAAATGAAGCACATAGCTAAGTGAATATGGTTTAAAACCATTATTATCTCTAATATATAAAATAAGTTCTGATAATTTTTTGTAAATTTAGCTCCTGGATTGATTAAATATGAATTTCCTTTCTTACTTTGTTTATTAAACATAGATTCAATTGGTTTGTTGTGTTTTAATGCCCATTTATTCATTTCAACTCTATTCTTAAGATAAAATGGAGTAATAGGAATATCAATGTCTAAGAAATAATGATCACCCCTCATATTTGAATCTCCGAATAAATACATACATAAATTTCAGTAGCTTCTTCTTCATCTGATCTTATATATTTCATTATTGTATTAGCATGATCTTTACGCTTTAATTCTTCACGTTTTATTTGAATTCTAATATTACATGATTTTGAAACTTCATCTATCAATTTAATTTTCTGATATCTTGAATAACAATGAACAATATTAATTGGTATAAATCAATAATTTTCTCATCTATTTCAGCTTGTTGTAGAGCATATATTTAACAATTTGTGTTTAATTCTGGTCTTACTTTGTTTTCAACACCAAGAGAATCAAATATTTGTGCTGTTTTTGAATATTTAGAGAAACATTTATATTTTTCTGTATAATGATAAGCAAAGAATGCTGCACCATTATTTCGATATTCATTAATTTCATTTTTATAATCATATTCTTCAATTATTAATTCTGTAATAAAAAACGGTTCTGGAACTTCATGCTGAACATAAAATGCAGAATCAAAACTGTTTTCAATTTCAGATTGATTATATAAACCAAGAGTTTCGTTTGATATTGATTAAGAAATTCATCTATATTTTCTTTAGAATTTAACATATATGTTTTCCAAGTGGTATCAGTAATTCTATATTTATAAACTAAATTTGCTGTTGAATCCAGTTTTTCAATTAATTGATTAAAGAACTGTCTAATCATACCAATTCTCTTATTTTTCTTCAAATCCACAATAAAGATCAGCATGAATTTTATTATTATCTACTTCATATGTTACACCTTCTGTTTTATATTCATTATCATTTATTGATCGTTTGTATGGTTCGTATTCATCATAAATTTGATCTCTGTTTTCATCTTCATCTATTTGTTCAATATTATTGTTTAAACTCTATTCTAAATTATTTTTGATATTATCATAATTATTAATCATGTATTTGTTTTCTCTTCCATTCTTAAGTTGATCATTAGATAATTATAATATTCTTGAGATATTACTTCATCATCTATTTCGGTATTATGTTTTAAAGCCCATTCTAAATTCTTTTTATTAAGTTCTTTTCATCATCTAAATCTTTAATTAATGTTGCTTTCTTATTAATTAATCCAAAAATTTGTTTATCAGTTTTATTTAATTTATCAAACACAATTCTTAAAAATGGTTGTTCTAAAGTTACTGCTACGCGTTGTTCTAATTTTTCTTTATAATCAAGATAAACATTTCTAGATTCGATATTCATTTTCAATAATTCTTTTCTACATTCTCTATTTAAAATTTTAGTAGATGCTGCTTTAATAATTCCATCTTTAATTCTGAAACAATCCAAAATTTCTTCTTCGGAATAAGTTTTAATAAATTTGTGGAAATTCTTTTTAAGTATTCTTGTGTAGTGCTCATTTAAGAAAAGAAAAAATAAAATTATCACTTTGAAATAATTACTAAAATAATAACCCTAAAATAATTAAACCTAAAATAACGGAGCGAAGCGACGAAATCGTGAAGATTGAGGATTCCCGAAGGGTGTCCGAAATCGGCATGATTTATATACTACTAAGTCGATTCTAGACCTTGAAAAATTCCTTCATTTTGTCGTCCTCCGTCTTGAACTCCTCTGCTTCTGCGACTATTTTGTCTTTCTGTTCCTTTGAGAGTCTTCCCTTGTCGTTTGTGATTGTGATCTTGTCATTCTTTCTTGTTATCTTGTCCTCAGCTGAGACATTCAATATCCCATTTGCGTCAATGTTAACCGTGACTTCTACTTGTGGGACTTCACGTGGTGCGGATACCAGATAATTCAAACTTGCCAAACAGGTTGCAGAGTGATGTCATAGATGCCTCACCTTTAAAGACTTGGATGAACACGCCTGGCTGGTTGTCCGCATATGTCGTAAAGATTTGTGACTTCCTTGTTGGAATTGTTGAGTTTCGTGGGATCAGTGCCGTCATCACACCGCCAGCTGTCTCAATGCCAAGTGTCAATGGCGCAACGTCAAGCAGCAACACGTTTTCCGTTTCTTTCCGCCGTTTTTAGTCAAAATAACAGCCCCGAACTTTAACTGATTTATTTAAGATTTGAGATGTTTAATTCATTTATAAAAATCCTGTTTTTTAGCCAAAAAGGTTAAAGTTTAAAATTAAAGAAAAAAATAAAAAACAAATAAAAAAGATGTGTTTTTTGAAATGACACATCTTGATTTATTTGTGCATTAAAGGCCTTTAATACAAATATTTGAATATTGTATCTGCTTATAAAGTTCATATTAAATAGGTTCTTGCATTTCACTATTTTTTAATCACACAGTCCGAAGTTATAATAATTATATTTTTCAAAAAATAAAAAGATGTGTCTTCGAAAAATACACGTCTTTCGGATTTTATCATTTAACCCTTCGAGAACTGAGAAAATTTTCTTTTTTTTTCAGAAAAAAAATTTCAAAATATAATTTCACTTTTTCAAAAAAATGAAAATAATGGCGACTTTTCATGAACAATTCAGAACAATTATTGACTTTTTTGATAAAATAGTTCAACTCAAATTCAATTTTTTGAATTATTTATTAAACATTTCATCATTCATAAACTCATATTAATTGGGTTTGGTAAAAGATTCGTCCTTCAATCAATAAAATATATAATTTAACAAATTAATATTAGTAATATAAATAATACTAAAATAAAATGTTTTTATAAACAAATAAAAATGTTAATAAAAATTGATTAAATAATATTATCAGATATTCTATTTTTTAAAAACAAAATAAAAAACACTTAAAAAGTGTGCAAGATTGTAGGTTTGGTATAACCAATAAGATTGGTTCAAACAAAAATAAAATAAGAACATAACAAAAATATTGTTGTCGAAATAAAAAAAATGGATTCCACTCAAACTAAAAATACTTAGAGAACCAAATAACATCAAAATATTACGATAAAAACCCACTACTTATTATTAATTTTGTTCGTTATTGTATTAACACAACAATAACATTAAATTAATTATCTTTTATGGTAAAACAACGCTGTAAAACATCAATTTAAGTCGAGAAAATGGCCGTTTTGGATACATTATACAATGCTTGACAAAAGAATAATAAATTGTATAGTAATTTTAATTATAAATAAACTATAAAAATCAACCTATGAATAATATAATTGATAGTAAATTATTAAATATTTTATGATTGATTATAACAATAATTATTAATATTAAACCAAATGAACACCAATATGAATATAATTAAATTGAGCCAAGCATAAACAGCCTTCTCATGCTTAATCCTTGTTTATCTGCGAGCTTCTTTATTTTAAGTCTGTCGTTGATGCCTGAGTACATTGATGTTCCATTTGAAAAGACGATGTTTTCATACAAGTCCTTTATGATGTCGACATCGCACTTCACGATTGAGTTGTGAGTAGTATTGTGGATACCTACTGCTTCCACACCAAGGAATGGTATGGAAGAGTGCTTCTGGGATCTAAATCTCTCATTGTCAGTGATGATGACTTGACTGTTTGAAAATTTGTTTTATTTTTCAAGTTCTGATGATGAGGCAGATTTTTGCATTTTTTCGTCAAATTAAATGCAAGGCGGCAAAGTTATTTGTAGTAATAAGTAATTATTTATTTTTTGAATTTTTATTTTAAATATAACTAGAAATTTGTGTGTTATTTCACACGATTATTTATTGCTGATTTACGATATTTATTAGATATTAAAACGTTTTTTCGGGATATAAGGATTAAAAATGATAATTTTTGATTATAAATTGGTTTTGAACATTGTTGTTTAAAATAGTGCAACTTGAAACTATAAATCTATTTATAACAAATCTTGAAATAACCAACTCAATTATCGTGTCTATTCAAATTTATATCAAGTATTGTCTTTGTTTTATCACAAACTTTTTTGTTTTGTAGCAAGTGATGTTGTTTTATGTAAGATTCAATTAGTATTTTTAATTAATTTAAACCATTTTATTGTTTAGCAATTTATAAATAAAACGCAAAAATGTTTTTTGAATTTAATTTGTTTAAATAGTTTTTATTAATTAAAAATAACTATAATTGTCTTGCGTTATTAAAACAATTGAACAAAACGGGGAAACCTTACTGTATTTATTTTTAAAAATTTTAACAAAAAAATCTATTTAAAAACACAAAACACAATTCGTTACAAAATCAATCGAATAAACAATACATTATAAATTATTTAATATTTTTAACTATAACTGTTAATAAAATTATAAGTGACAATTGTTTGCCTATTTCTTATTGATCCATTGTCGTGGAATAACAGATAGTCGTTAATTTAAAATATTCTTTAAAATTATCCTTTTAAAACAAAAATTATTTTAATATTTTTGTTATTTGGTGTGTTTGAATAACATTATTATAACATTATTGTTATTTAAATCAAATCAATTATTATTTTATTATTATTATATTATCATTCTAGACTCTATATTATTATTGGTAAAATAATATTAGAAATATAGTTTGTTATCAATTCTAACATTCAAATAATTTAAATTGTCTTATATATAACAACCACATCAAGTACATAAACACTGTGTATCTTCTATAATGATAACATTATAAATAAGGGTCATTATACCATTTTTGTTATAATTATAATTTAATTTCAATACTATTTAAATTAATAACAATGTGGTATCATCACATTAATAGCAAATCACTATGATTATACCATCTTGTAGTACAAATATATTTGTTGGTGTGTTATTGTGTCAAAATTGTGTCTGTTGATTGTTACTATTATATATAACAATTATAATTATAAAACTATTATAAATAACATGATAAATTATTAATAATATATTAATTTATTTTATTATAAATTATAGTTTAAAGTGTCAACTTAGGTATATATCATGTTGCCTTTACACTTGTGTTTTTCTTTGTTTTTCATTATCTCTATACATTTACTATAAGTTTTTTGTTTGTTGCCCAAAAATGCACAATTTGAAAATGGATAAACAATGGCTGCAAAATAAACAATTATTTACCAAATACAAATCTTTATATTCTAAATAGAATGCATAAAACATGTTTTGCCTTTTGTTTTAGTTTGAAAATGATAAAAAATTCAAATTACAAACAATGAATTCATATCTTGCTTCCTCGACAGTGGCACGACGTGAATTTCAACGGGTGACCACAAAACCTCGTGGTGATAAAAGTTTATTTTAATGCGATTATTTTTACTGTTAAAGTTGATTTTATAAATTTTTCTCGATTTTGCGATTTTTGATACTTTTGAAAATGTATTTTAGTTATTTTTTTATTTTACACTTATTTTCTTTAAGATTTTTTTTTCAAAGTCAAAACAAACAAAAGTGTCTTTTCGTCTTATCTTTTTATCTTTAAAAAACAGTAAAACCCAATTTTTAATTTATTGTATTTTTCAAAGTTTACAAAAAAAATCTATTTCCCTTGTTATTTTTGAAATCAATTGCATAATAAAATTTCAATACATTTCAAAGTCTGTTATTTATTATTTTTTCTTTGTTATTTTATGGTGCAATTGATTTTGAATATTCCGGACCAGTATGTTTTACGATGCAATTTAGTCTTTGTTATATTTTATGAATAATTTTATTATTGTAATAGGTTGTAGACATCTCAATATAATTTTTAATCTGACTTTTTCATTGGACTGTGACTTGTTTCTGAAAGGATCAAGCAAAACAGTGAACCTTTGTTAATCCCGACTTAACAATA